CTATTTTTAACTGTTTTAAATTCATTTTAAACCTCTTAAATCAATTTTTAAATCATTTTCAAAGTTTTAAATTCCTTGTTTTATTGTTGTGATTATTTTTTTATTATCATTTTCTTTTCTTTTATGTAAAGCACTTTGAATTACCATTGTGTATGAAATGTGCTATATAAATAAACTTGCCTTGCGGCGCAGAAAGCCCACTCAATTAGTTGTGGGTGACAACTTCACTTATTCACTTCCTTATTTTAGTGCTTTCCCTTCCTGTAAGTTAAGTGTATTCTATTAACAGGGATGTACATGTGTTCACATCTGCAGGCTCGGATTCAAGAATGGGTTTATTAGCGGCTCTTCGCCTCATCGCTGTGTCTGGGTGTCTATTGCTGCTGTGTGGCTCATCATGGGGAATTAATGCCTCAGTCCCTCTGGTGATATGGCACGGCATGGGTGAGACACACTACATCCCATCCGCACCTGATCAAATAAATAATAGGCCTGAGTCATTGAATAATGTGAATCATAAGGGTAATATACATTGGTCACTTCACAAGAAGGCTTTTGTGTATACAGTGGCTTTCGCAACAAAAAAACTGACACTAACGCTTTGAAATGCATCATCTTGCAATTTTTTATCTTGCACACACACACACACACACACACACACACACACACACAAACCAAAAGTTTGGGGTCAGGAGTTTTTTTTTTTTTTATACTTTTATTTAACAAAGATGCATTAAATTAATCGAAAGTGATAGTAAAGACTTAGACTTTTACTAAAGATTTTGATTTGAAATAAACACTGTTCTTTTGAACTTTCTATTAATCAAATAATCCTGTAAAAATGTAACACTGTTTCCACAAAGATATTACGATTTTGTTTTGTTTTTAACATTAATAAGTCTGGAGACTGGATATTTTTGTAGAAACCATGGTAATTTTTTTCAAGATTTAAAAAAATATATATTTAATGTATCTTACCTGAATAAAAGTAATAATGTAATAAAAAGTAATAATGTAGGAAAAAATCTAACTGATCCTAAATAGTAGTGTACTAAGTGACTAGAATCTTTACAAATCTTTTTTTTAAATACATATATATATAATTTGACATTTCATTTGTACACCACATTACTCCGCATTATTAATAAGCAATTCCATAAAATAAAATTGCTCCTAATTTTTTAATTTAATCCAACATGTTTTCAGTATCATGACCTTCTGAAGTACACAACTTATGATTGAAAACTGCATATTATTTATATTACACCTTGTAGTGCCATGACCTATGGAAAAGGCACCATTGTTGTGAAATTACCTAGAAACATGTTTACCACATTAACAGAAACACACCCACTGATTGACCTACTGAGTTTGCGATAAAGATAATTAGACAATTGCTAATTATCACTTATTTATTCATCTTTTTGCAGGAGACAGTTGTTGTAATCCCCTGAGCATGGGTGCAATAAAGAAGATGGTGGAAGAGGAAGTCCTAGGAATATATGTGCTTTCCCTGATGATCGGCAAGTCTGTTGTACAGGTAAAGCAGGTCCACATCCTCCAATCTTCTCATTCCTGTTGTTTTTTCAAATAAAAAGGTCTGATTCAGTGTTTTTTTTAAAATTATTTATTTTTTACAGGACACTGAAAATAGCTTCTTCATGGATGTTAATGAACAGGTGTCTTTTGTATGTGATCAGCTGGCTCAGGACCCTAAACTGAAGGGAGGCTACAATGCAATGGGCTTCTCCCAGGGGTCACAGTTTCTGTGAGTGGTTATTTATTCAGACCAATCCATCCAAGGGATTATCAAAAGTTTAATCATGTCTTTTTACTTTTCTATCTTGTTTAATGTATCGTAAGGCGAGCGGTTGTACAGCGTTGTCCAGATCCCCCAATAAAGAACCTCATCTCAGTTGGTGGACAGCATCAGGGTAATATGACCGATGTGCTCTGCTCACTCTATGATTGATTTACTTCCTGAAAACAGCAGTACA